TGTGTGTGTATTTGTGTAGGTGTACGCGCACGTGTAGGTATGTGCGTGCGTGCGTGCCTTTTTAAGTGCGCACGCACGCGGTACATGTACATGTGCAAGTGTATGTGTGCATGCATGTACGTGCGTATGCGGGGTTATCTTAGCGTCACTGTCAATCTTATTAGTGTCATAATCAATTTATAGGTGAACGTATTGATATGCCATAGCCATAGCCATTTGATATACTTTGCGCGCAATTTTCGAGGTAGTCGGAAACAAGCGAGACCAATCACCGCGAGGGCGTAAGACCTACAACTAATCATATATATATTAATGTTGCGTTTTTTTGTTTGTTCGTGATCAACCGACTGCCGATATTTTTGCTGTGAATCACAGTGCCAGCGTGCGTGAGTACGCGTGATACAGCTAGCTAGACATGTTAGTTAGCTTTTACGAGATGTTTATCAAGTTATTAAATTTTTCTAGGTTTTTGAGGTGAGACAGATTAAGCAATTTTGCCTTGTTTCACATTATGGAGTACCCGCACAGGTATGCGCTTTTGCATACGTTGTTATTTAGAGCTTCCTACCTTGATTCTGGTAGAATGCAGAGACGCCTCTTCTGTCCGGTCCGGCGAATGAAATGGGGCCCTGAAAAACACAAGGACGTAAACGCATAGATCGCGGCCACGCGAATCTATCACGGTTCATATCTTACTCTCCCTTTTCTCTTACCCTTTCTCCCTCTTCTCTCTCTCTCTCTCTCTCGCTATCTTTCTTTCTCTCTCTTTATATCTTCCTTTCTTCTTCTCTCCCGTTCTCCCCGCTTCTCTTTCGCTTTTTCTCCCTACTTCTTCTCTAACTACTCCGCTCTCCCTCTTCGTCTTCTCTCGCTCTGTCCTCGTCTCTCCTCTCTCGCTCTCGGTTATTAATGGTAAATAAAAATTCAATGTTCAATGTAAGTCTGTAATTATGCGATCGTCTACGTACGGCTTTCACGCCTATGATGCCCAAGTAATATCCGCCCTTAGATTAATTGTGATAAGATTGTGATTAGATTGATGAATTTTACATTGCTGTATACATTACATGGCTGCATTCCTGCACGCATCTGCATACACAATTATTGACATCTATTTCACGTTTTAAAGTAAATTTTCCTGTGTTTAACCAAATTGTTACAGACTTCCTCTCTCTCTCTCTCTCTCTCTCGGTCTTTCTCTCTCTCTCTCTCGCTCTCTCTCTTTTTCTCTCTGTCTCTCTCTCTATCTACCTATCTATCTGTCTGTCTGTCTGTCTCTCTAGATCTCTTCCTCTCTCTGCTGCGATAATTTACGAAAGCATTCGTGCCTGTATGCTCGCGTTTGCGTGTTCGCGTCATGTTGCATTGCGCAGACGCTGGAAGGTGGGAAACGCCGGCGGACTTTCGCCGCAAAGCAAGGTCGTCAGTGACGCAGATCTGACGTGAGCGCCACCGGCGACTGCGGTGCCACCTATTGTGCACTCGGTAATCTGCGCGAGTAATCTAAAAAGCTCTAATGCGAGCGGTAATGACATTGGACGCCGGCAAGCAACGAATCCGCGCTCCGCAAAAAGGCTACCTGGAGCCGTGTAGACGGGGAAATATAAAGTGGGGGCGGGGAGAGGGAATATAAATACTCTAAAATGTTCGATTGTAACAAACCGCTCGGAGAAGAGTAATCGGTGGCGGCGGTATATTGATTTCTGCTCCGCTCCGGTCTTAATTAACGATAACCTATAACTAATAGAACGAGCGAGAAACAGCGAGCCGTCTAATCTCATGTGTACGACGTGTACGAACGATGTGCGCCGATGGTTTCGGATTGGATACGGGCCATGCGTTAATTAATAATGAAAACAACGCTCGATAGAAAACAAGAGAGCGAAACAAAATGCGCGTATCGTCGAGAAATTACGCAATGAGACATTACGCGCGAAAAATGGCGAGAATACTGCTTGGATTCTCAGAATATGAGCGTGTCGCTGCTAAATATGTGTGATATCCTCTATCAAAGCTTGCTTTTATCTATGATGACGGTCGGTTCGTACTTGAGGCTCCTGTAGTAAAGGTTGAAGGCTAGGAACCAGCAGGCGACGAGGCTACCGATGCACGACAGTGTACAGATGACCGTCAGCGCCACCTTGTCGACGACTTTGATCTTCTCCATGATCGTCACTTTGTCGACGGGAGTCTTGTTGCCTGTGCGCAACGACGTCGGCAAAGAAAGGTTACGTAGAAGGCGCTGCCGAAATGGCGTATTTAAGATTTGCCGCCATTAAGATATTTTTGCTAGGTCTGTCAGGTTAGCCCAGATTTTATGTGGAGTTCACGCGTGCACGTCAAAATGTCAAAAACTTTTTTTCAGCACATCTAGGACAGGCTGTAAGAAGGCCCTCGTACGTAGCTCAATTATTATTTATTACCACATTGCTTTGTCACTGCATAACAGAACTGGTTATATACATATATATATCAGAAGTAGATAATAAGGAATTATTCCTTATTCTATATATATCTATCTATATATTCTATCTATTCTATTCTATATTCCCTATTATCTACTTCTGATATATATATATATATATATATATATATATATATATATATATATATATAAAAATATAGTAGAGTATGTATAGGTTGAAAATGTACCTCGCCAGACGACGCTGTGACATCCGGGACACATAAAGGTCAACGTGAAGTTGTCGGGATAGAACAAGGCAATACGCTGCATCTTTCCACCTACAAACAGCACGTATACGGCGCATGCGTGAGTCCGATATTCACGAGGAAACAGAAACACGGGAAATTGCAAAAGCCTCCTTATCGCAGACTGCTGCGTGGGTGTGTGCGTGCGTGCCCTCTGACGTGCGCGTGCACGTGCGTATATGTGCATGTGTGGCTATGCGCGTGCGCGTGCGCGTGCGTTATGTGCTCATGTAGGTGCTTGCGCGCGCGTAAACTTACATGTGTGGGTGTGTGCGTGCGTAGCTTTTTCATGTACGCGCGTATGCGCGCGCGTACGCGTACATGCGTGGGTGTCTGCGTGCATGTGTTTTCATGTACGCGTGCACGCGCTGTATATGTAGTATATATATATATATATATATATATATATTATGATAATATATATATGGTGTGTGTGTGTGTGTTGTGGTGTGTGATGTGTGTGTGTGCTGTATTTGTTGTGAGGTGTACGCGCACGTGTAGGTGTGGCGGTGCGTGGTAATGTGGGGTTATTCTTTAGCGTCACTGTCAATCAATGATTAGCTGTCAATAATCAATTTATAGCGTAGAAACGTATTGATATGCCATAGCCATAGCCATTTGATATACTTTGCCCGCGCAATTTTCGCAGGTAGTCGCGAAACAAGCGCAGACAATCACCGCGAGGGCACACCCGTCAAGACGGCTCACAAGCTAAATCAGTAATCTTTCATAATGTTACGTTTTTTGTTTTTCGGTGAGTAACGGAGCTGCCGATACTTTTTGCCTGTGAATCACGCGAGTGCCAGCGTGCGTGAGTACCCGTGACTACAGCTAGGCTAGACATTGTTAGTTCAGCTTTTACGCAGCCATGTTTATCAACCGTTATTAAACTTTTTTTTCTAGGTTTTGACGTGAGACTAGACTTGAAGCAATTTTAGCCTTTTTCACATTATTGGTGTACCCACAGCGTTGCGCTTTTGCCCATACGTTTTACTTTAGGTAGCTTCGTAACCTTCGATTCTGGTAGAATGCAGAGGACGCCGCTTCTGTCCGTCGGCGAGAATGAAATGGGCCCCTGAAAAACACAGGACGAAAACGCATGAATCGTGGCCACGCGAATGTTATCACGACTTCCTCTCTCTCTCTCTCTCTCTCTCCTCTCTCTCTCTCTCTTCTCTCTCTCTCTCTCTCTCTCTCTTCTCTCTCTCTCTCTTCGCTACTCTGCTCGCCTCTCTCTCGGGTCTTTCTCTCTCTCTCTCTCTCTCTCTCTCCTCCTCTCTCTCTCTCTACTCTCTCTCGTCTCTCTCTCTACGTTCTATCTATTTTATCCTGTCTGTCGTGTCTGTCTCTCATAGATCTCTTTCTCTCTCCTTGCCTGCCGATAATATTACGAAAGCATTCGTGCCTGTCATGCCGCGTTTAGCATGTTCGGGTCCATAGTTGTACTTTGCTGCAAAACGGCTGGAAGGTGGGAAACGCCGGCGCGACTTTCGCCCGCAAGCAAGGTCGTCAAGTGGACGCAAGTATTCCTGACAGTAGAGCGCCCCGGCGACTGCCCGGTGCCAAGCCTATTGTGCACTCCGGGTAATCTGCGCGGATAATCTAAAAAGCTCTAATGCGAGCGGTAATGACATTGGACGCCCGGCAAGCAACGAAATCCGCCTCCGCAAAAGGGCCTACCTGGAGCCGTGTAGACGAGGAAATTATTAAATGGGTCGCTTGCCAGCCGCCGGGGAGAGGGAATATAAAGATACTCTAAAATGTTCCGATTGTAACAAAACCAGCTGCGGAGAAGAGTTAATCGGGATTGGAGCGCCAGGGGTATATTGATTTTCTGCTCCGTTCCCGGTCCTAATTAACGAGATAACCAGTGTGAGACTAATAAACGAGCGAGAAACAGCGAGCCTCTGATCTAATCTCATCGTGTACGACGTGTACGAACGAATGTGTGCCGATGGTTTCGGACTCTGGGATACGCAGGCCATACGTTAATTATAATGAAAAACAACGCTCGGATAGAAAGACAACGAGAGCGAAACAAAATGCGCGTATCCGTTCGAGGAAATTACGCAATGAGACGATTACTGCGCGAGAAAGGCCGGGATTATCTGCTTGGATTCTGCAGGAGAATATGAGGCGTGTCGCGCTAAATATGTGTGATATCCTCTATCAAAGCTTGCTTTAAATCGACTGTGAACTGCACATCTGTAAGCATCAGGGAAACATAAGCATCACACACTAAGAGAAGCACTACATACTCCTGGTATGCCAATCACGAAACTAACCATGGACCATAAGCATCACAACACTAAAGGAAACATACACATTCACACCACTAAACGGAAAGACAGATACGTATCACCACACTAAGGAAAGCAACATGCGTAATCACACACCTAAGGGAAACATAGCCGCATCACACACGTAAGGAAAAGCAATATAAGCGCGTATTCACACCACTAGGGCGAAGCGAACTTACGATACTTCGTGTGTAATGCATCACAAAACTATAGCAGTGAGTGAGGGCGCAATAAGCAGTCCACACTAAAGGAAACGATAGCCACAAGAATGCAGCACCACCTGAGAGGGAAAACCATACGTATTCACATCACCTACACGGAAAAATCACCGTATCACACACTAAGGGAAACATTACGCATCACACGACTTAAGGAAGAAACCACTACGTATCACACAACCTAAGGGAAACATAGCGTATAACACACACTAAAGGAAAGAACTAGCGTAATCACACACTAAAGGATAGTCCAATACGCATCGAGCCACACTAAGCGGAAACATACCAAATGCGACCACCAATAGATTGGAAAACATACGTATCACATCACTAAGAAAAACTATAAGCATCACACACTAAAAGAAACATACGCCTATCACACACTAAGGAAACATAAGCATTACACACTAAAGGAAGGCATACGCATCACAGCACTACAAGGAAGCACTACATACTCCTGTAAGCATCACACACTGAAGGGAAACATAAGCCATCACACACTAAGGGAAACAATACGCCATCACACCACTAAAGGAAACACATACGGCATCAGCATACTCAAAGAAAACGATACGCATCACACACGTAAAAGGAAGCATACGTCATCACACACTAAAGGCAAGCCACTCACATACTCCTGGTAAGCATCACACACTAAGCGGAACAGAAGCATCACACACTTTAAGGAAACATACAGCACTCACACACTAAGTGGAACATAGCATCACACCTAAGGGAAGCTAACTACATACTCCTGTAAGGCACACACACTAAGGGAAACAGAAGCATCACACACTAAGGGAAACATTAGCATCACAACACTAAGGGAAAACATTACGCATCACCACACTAAGGGAAGCACTACATACTCCTGTAAGCATCACACACTAAAGGAAACATACGCATCACACACTAAGGGAAACATACGTATCACACACTAAGGAAAACATAAGCATCACACACTAAAGGAAACATACGCATCACACACTAAGGGAAACATACGCATCACACACTAAGGGAAGCACTACATACTCTTGTATGCATCACAAACTAAGGGAACCATAAGCATCACACACTAAAGGAAACATACGCATCACACACTAAAGGAAGCATACGCATCACACACTAAGGGAAACATACGCATCACACACTAAGGGAAGCACTACATACTCTTGTATGCATCACAAACTAAGGGAACCATAAGCATCACACACTAAAGGAAACAACACTACCTACTCCTGTTAGCATCCTACTTGCATCTGTAAAGCCTCACACGATAAGACTAAGTAGGGAAGCATATATATGCACTACTTTGTAAAACTGTTTATGCCATTTACCTGTTTGTACCATCACTGAACTATGTTACCATCATAGTGTTGTAGATATTCTGTATAACGTATAATATAATGTAATGTAAATATGTGTTTCTGGAAATAAAGGACATTATAAAAAAAGAGAGTAGGGAAGCAGAGGAATACCAACCGAGACGCCGACGAAGTCTAGATTGCCCATGATGCTGAACATGGTGTCCGTCATCGGCTTGCCCGTCGCGTTGTCATAGCTGAAGTTCTTCAGTCTGTAGGGCTGACCCTCGGCTATCCACTTGAGCTCCGACTTCTTCATAGTGGCCGCCATGGCCCACACTGCGTCGTACGTCTGGGAGAAAGCCACAGGGGCGGTCAGAAGACGATTTACGCTGGAAACGGCCGTGCGAAAACTAGCGTATGTACCGCATTGCTTCCTAGCGTGCCATAATTGCGGTGCCAGAGTAATGAAACGTTAACACAGCGTATTAGTCTGCGATTAAGTCTTATCTCTTAAGTCTTAACTCTGTAACAGTCTATTGAACAAAACGAAAATATCTTGAGCGGGGTACTCAACAAGTGCGGAAAGGAGTGTTCAAAACAACAATGAACGCTTTATTGTCGTACATATAGTTTGCACGGTGTTCTACTACTACATTAGCGAGACCACATGATAAAAAAACAATTTATCATGTACGTTACTCCCGATATCATGTACATATTATATACGTCAAAACAAAACTGGAAACAATGCTGGTATGTGCCGTCTCTCGGCGATTGATTCCCACACCAGTGCGTCAATAGCGCCGAATTATCATTTCACAATTGTCGGGTCGCGTGAAGCAATTGGTTTCGTTAGTAAAAATCGCAATGGCTGCACGCGGCGCCACGCCGACCAACCGCATGGTTTCCCCCTGGTGGCTCTAATGGCTGGTAATAGACGTCGAGTGCTCCCGGGAGATTAGCCCCCCCCCGTCTGACGTTGCGCGCGCGGGCGTCATTCCGTCGTCGTCGTTGTCGTCGTCGTCGTCGTCGTTGTTGTCCGGAGTAATGAATTCTACGGCGATTGCTTGCTTACCTAATTGACGGAATTAGATAAATGTGTTCGGACGCGGATGACGGCGAAATGACGGGGGAGACAATCGGCAAACATGGCGCGCGTAATGAGAAACCTTCGCGCGACAGTTTGAAGTTGGTTCGCACCGCGGTTAGGGCCGGGCGCAATCAATGAAACGAAACATAACGAACACAAACGAGAAAACTCTACAAAACGAAAATCGTAAAGTGAAATGGGATTTCTAACAGTGCCATCGGATGAGAAATAGCTCATGAACCTAATAAAAGGGTGTATATTAAACTCAGTAATATGCAGTTATGTTATTTTATATATACATCATAATTAGACCACGCCCCCTTTCGATGCAAAGTTTAACTTGGTCATCTTACTGGATTTACTATCGCTTTAAACAATATAAAAACTAAACTTGTTGTTGAAACGCCTCTAGACAAATAATAATATTGTAAAATTGTATTGTTTAGTGTATTTTTCGGAAAAATACACAAAGATATGTTTGCATTTGCTTTTCGTATTCACCTACCACTCTATTCTCATCTCTCCATTCTCATTAACCAACAATGCTCGAAACAACAGACGGGATAGTCCGTCTGTTGTTTCGAGCATTGTTGGAGCATCCTGGCGGATATGTTCTAGGGCAAGCTGGAAATCCTAAGGACAGTTCTCACAAAACGCTCCAGCAGCACGCCATCACGTTATCGCGTTTCTATCGCAGCACTGACGTTCTCAAACTACGACAATTTTTACACTAAACCATATACGCTTTATACTGGAGCTGGAGTCACTCTGTAGACAGGGCCTTTAATTCGTGCTAATTGACTTTTTTTTGATGCCCTGTTGGTAATACTAATGGGAATGCGGACAAAAAATTGCGTGAATAGCGATGGATGGGCACACTGTCACTATATATGTGCACAAATACACTGTATAAACACATACACATATGCACCCATGTACGGCTTATACGTACACGCGCGTGCGCACACACAAACAGACAGACAGACAAACATACACACACACACACACACACACACACGCACGCACGCACGCGCGCACACGCACACGCACACACACGCCCGCACACGATTCGCGCTAGCAGAAAGGTGCATTACAGCTTTAGTGCAAGCTAAAGCTACAACCTGTGTTTGAAAGCTGCTGTCGGCTACGACACCCATCTCCATCTTCTTGCGCCGAAGTTGCTCCTGGAATGCTTCATTCGTCTATTAAGGATAACAAAAATGAAAAAAAATGTGATTGCATCAGCAAAAATTGCAGCGGCCACGTTTGACCACTAAAACTGTAACTACTTCTTTCTTCCCTGCCTCGCCCTCCATCCCTCCCTACCACTCTCCTTACCACGCTCATTCCCTCTTCCTCTCCCTTCCTCCCTCTTCCCCTTCCTTCTTTCCCGCCTCCCTCCTTTCCACCATCCCTCCCTCTTTTTCTCCCGCTCTTTCCACCCTCACTTTCTCTCCCAACCCCCCCGCCGCCTCCATCCTCTCGCCCATTTTTCTTCTAGCAGCCGAGACAACGTACGAGAGTTGGAAAAGGTCGATCTCGGGGTCCGCCATTGATCCGAGTTGAGCTGTTCGCACGGATATGTAAGCCTTCGACGGCCTCGGCGCATCTCCGCACCGGTAACTTCGGTGCTGTCTTCCCTTCAGCCAACTCAGTTACTCTGATTACCATCCCTGCAGCCATCCAGAACATGCCGTGCTCCGGTGCACGGTTATGACGGTTACGCCTGCAAGAGATGATGCCAGAGCTGAGGATGTGATACACTAGTGGTATATATATATGATATATAGTATATATATATTATATTAGGTACCTCCGCCAGGGGCTGGCGGAGCGTTATGTTTTTGCGAGGATAGCGTCAGAAATGGGGGTAACTTAGAATTTGATTTAATTTTTTGGTCGCGTTTGTTGATGCCGGATCAATTAAATTATTTAATTAATTAATTAGAATTAATTAATTTATCACTTGAATTAATAATTATTAATACAAAATTTCCACATTGAGAGAATTCAGCTGCCTTGGCGGAGGTCTGTGCTCTCCGAGTGCTCTAGTATATTTATGTGTCAGTGTGCGGCAGCGTGCATGCGGTGTACATGTGTGTTGCAGAGGAGCATTTGCACGGCATTTACAGAAAATTGTCGGCAATAATAGGCGAAAGAGAATAGCGAAACATTAAGACTTTGGTAGTAAATAGATTTCGTATTTATTTAGTATTATATTTTATTGAAACGCTGCAAGTGGCTGTGATGACGGCGGTGAGCAGATCGAGCCGGGGTACTATCAGATCAGTAGCCAGCTGAACGTCGAGCGTCGTTTTATCGAACTTGTGGAGCTTATTAAGTATTTATGAAGCAGAAACCTAATGTATAAACTGAAGGTATATGTCTTTTCAAGTCACGCTTTAACCTTTCCATGTTTATACTACTCTCGTAGTTACACTTACCTGCCTACACAGTGCTTGATTAATTTTTAATCGTTGACATAATCTCGTTCGTGTCTATATTAATTGATCCACTCGAGTTTGACCGACCCGTGGAAGGTGCAGGCAATTTCCCCAGCCGCGTTCCAAACTAATCCAGCATTGATATAGATACTGTTATCGTTGAAGGCCGTGGGCACCACAGGGATCCAACTACTTTGTAAAAATTCGCATCATAGAGCTGGCATTTCGAGCGGAGTATAGAACATGAATCTGTAGTTTTTTAACTTCAATAAAGTGTATGTAGTGTATGCGACGAAACAGTGTGAGTATTTTTAATTAAGTTCTGTTCGATGCTTATTCAGGCCTACTGCCTATGGACGCCCTCTACTGTTGTGCAACACCTATAGCAACGGCGGCCATGTTGCGCCGGTAACAACATCGCGCGTGTATTTTTATTCGTTATTTTTAGCTCGCGTTCTGCAGCCAATGAGCCGTCCCAGCATGGCAGGACATCCGTGTCACGCACGCAGCTGTCGCACGTAAACCTACAGACACGTGTCCCCGTTAAGTAGCAGCTGTCAGTATCCGAACGAATAAGAAACGACGGGACGGCTTTTCGATCCACGACGATGAATAGTCAGGCAACGTTAGGGCGGAGTCGAAATTTTCTTCTAAATTCCTAGATTTCGCTACTAAATTACGCAACGACTGACAGCGACAAGATCAGTGACGGCGCATAAATGTTTACGTAATGCACAAGCAGATACGTCTGCGTCAGTTATCTCCCCCGCCCCTTCTACCCCCTCCCTCCACCAGCGTCGAAATCCGTTATTGTACGAGTTAATCGCCGATTATTTATTTCAGCCACGATCACGCGAAATCTCGCAATTCAACGCGCAGATGCGCTAATGGCCGCAGGCTTTTAATGGCCGCCGCCGCCGCCGCCACCGCCGCCACCGCCGCCCCTCCCTC